CGGGATGTTTATTAACATGTTCATGGTTCAGAATTGATAAATTCGCCGAATCCGAGAATTTGACGAGTTTGACAAATTTGATGGGTTTGACGAGTCAATGCGGTCAAACGGTGGTCGAAATTACATTCCGAGGGTTCAAAGTTGTGTATAGGGACTATTATGACGTATTTAACATGTTTTTGTTACTCGTAAAGCATCCGAGAAAATGATAAATTCTACCCTAGACCAATGTGTTACATAACGTGTACTAGAACATTAGGGTTTCATTTGTGAGAACATGCACTGTTAAACAAAATAAGGTGTTAAATTTAGATAGTTGCGATTATTTTTTACTTATCAAATTTATTATACGGGATGTTTATTAACATGTTCATGGTTCAGAATTGATAAATTCGCCGAATCCGAGAGTTTGACGAGTTTGACGAGTCAATGCGGTCAAACGGTGGTCGAAATTATATTTCGAGGGTTCAAAGTTGTATATAGGGGCTACTATGATGTATTTAACGTGTTTTTGTTATTTGTAAAGCATCCGAAAAAATGATAAATCCTACCATAGGCCAATGTGTTTACATAAAGTGTACTAGAACATTAGACTTTCTTTATGAGAACATGCATTGTTAAACAAAATAAGGTGTTAAATTTAGATAGCTGCGATTATTTTTTACTTATCAAATTTGTTATACGGGATAACATGTTCATGGTTCAGAATTGATAAATTCGCCAAATCCGAGAGTTTAACGAGTTTGACGAGTTTGATGAGTTTGACGAGTATGACGAGTCAACGTGGTCAAACGGTGGTCGAAATTATATTCCAAGGGTTCAAAGTTGTATATGGGGGCTCCTATGATATATTTAACGTGTTTTTGTTATTCGTAAAGCATCCGAGAAAGTGATAAATCCTACCTAGGCCAATGTGTTTACATAAAGTGTACTAGAATATTAGGGTTTCGTTTGTGAAAAAAAAAAAAAAAAAGGTGTTAAATTTAGATAGGTGCGATTATTTTTTAATTATCAAATTTGTTATACGAGATATTTATTAACATGTTCATGGTTCAGAATTGATAAATTCACCAAATCTGAAAGTTTGACGGGTTTGACGGGTTTGACGAGTTTGACGAGTCAACGCGGTCAAACGGTGGTCGAAATTATATTCCAGGGTTCAAAGTTGTGTATAGTGGCTACTATGATGTATTTAACATGTTTTTGTTATTCGTAAAGCATCCGAAAAAATGATAAATCCTATCCTAGGCCAATGTGTTACATAAAGTGTACTAGAACATTAGAGTTTCGTTTATGAGAACATGCATTGTTAAACAAAATAAGATGTTAAATTTAGATAGTTGCGATTATTTTTTACTTATCAAATTTGTTGTACGAGATGTTTATTAACATTTTCATGGTTTAGAATTGATAAATTCGCTAAATCTGAGAGTTTGACGGGTTTGACGAGTTTGACGGGTTTGACGAGTCAATGCGATCAAACGGTGGTCGAAATTATATTCCGAGGGTTCAAAATTGTGTATAGGGGCTACTATGATGTATTTAACGTGTTTTTGTTATTCGTAAAGCATCCGAGAATGATAAATTCTACCCTAATCAATGTGTTACATAAAGCGTACTAGAACATTAGAGTTTTGTTTGTGAGAACATGTATTTTTGACGAGTTTGACGAGTTTGTGAAAAATATTGGAAAATAGGTCGAAATTAGGATTCATTTTTGGAATATATAAAATTTTCTTCCGTCAAGACCTTTTTAAGAGATTGAATGGTCTGATATGGATAATATTTCGTTGTGATCTTGGGAGCCATATGAATGGCTTTAAAATCATATACAAATGTACCTGCAAAAATAAATTTATCAATAATTATCAGACTCATCAAACTTGTCAAACTCGTCAAATTAGTCAAACTCGTCAAACTCATCAAACTCATTACAGTGCGACTTGTTTGACGAGTTTGAACAATTTGCATCGTTTCTAGTTTGACTTGTTTGACGGATGCGTCCAGTTTGAATAATATCTAGCATGATTACTAATCTATGTTTTACTGCATCCGACTGTCGACAATATCAGTGTGACTCGATTCCTATACGTCTTTTGTGAAAAATACTATTTCTCACCAATCCGAAAACCCTATTTCGATATTTCGGTGACAATTTGTTAATGAATCCTCATTTTTCTAATATTTATTTCAAACTATAATCTTTAACGAAAATTTAACAGAAAATCCAAAATTGAATCTCAATCTGTACCCAAAACCTAAAAAATCTTATTTTTGGTGAATTCAAAAACCATACATGGAGGTCTTCGCAAATAGAAGCCGAAGGGGGGGCGAAGATGACGAAGACGAAGCCATTTTTCGTTCATTTTATTTGCAAATACGAAATCGTAGAAAAATCTCACAGAAAAATCGATAAGTTGAAAAGAAAATGAAGAAGAATCGATACTATGAAGAAATAAAACTCTGTCAAAAAGGGCAAAAAATAAACTGTTTGGTTTTTCAAAAATTTTTATTTTAGTAACTTTCCAACTTTTGGTCTTTCTTTTTCAGATGTTGACACGTATATTTTTTAAAAGGGGTAACGATGTTTTTTCATTCTTTTTCAGGTTTTTTTTAAACCCTAGATTTTGAAGTGTATATCCTGTAAGTAAAATCGACATTTAAAGGTATTTCTGTAATATTCCCCGTTGGAGTTCCCGTGGCATTTTACTAACGACGTTTTCCAATGGATATCTGTTCCAATTTATTAATGGGATACCATTGATAATCCGTTGGAAATGTGCCACGGATGTAGCCGTTGAAAATTCGTTGAAAATATACCACGGATGCTGCAGTTGCAAATCCGTTAGAAATTTCCAACTGAATAGCCCGTTATACCGTCGAAAATTGCCACGGGCTTCCAACGGATCTGAAATTCCAACAACGTTTTTTGAACGGATTCATCCGTTGAAAATCCGTTGGAAATACTAATTTCCAACGGATTTTTGGTCATTTCCAATGGATTTGCCTGTTGGAAATGACCTATTTTTTTGTAGTGGATTTTCCCATATCGATAGGGTTGCACCAAGGGTCCGCTTTAAGTCCATACCTTTTCGCGTTATTCATGGATGAACTGGCTAGAGATATACAGAAGGAAGTATCGTGGTGCATGATATTTGCGGACGATATCGTGCTAATAGACGAGTCCAGTGAAGGAATAAATGGACAATTAGAGTTATGGATGAGTACATTAGAGGCTAAGGGTTTTAGGCTTAGTAGAACGTAGACTGAGTACATGTATTGTGACTTTAGTGGCAGGCGTTCTAGTGATGTGAGAGTTATCTTACAAGGAGGATCAGTACCTTAAAACTCGCATTTTAAATATCTTAGGTCAATCCTTCAAAAATATGAGGATTGCGACGAAGATGTTAGTCATAGAATAAAAGAGGAATGGATAAAATGGAGACAAGTCAAGGAGGTTCTTTGTGATCGTAAGGTTTCCCTACGGTTGAAAGAAAAATTCTACCTACCACCATAAAACCCGCATTATTGTATGGTAGCGAATGTTGGACGGCGAAAGGGCAATATATATCTAATTGAATGTGCGGACACACAAGGATGAATAGAATTAGAAATGAGATTATTAGAAAGAAACTAGGAGTAATAAGTATCGGAGAGAAGGTACGGAAGGGGCGTTTAAGATGGTTTGGACCATGGACGAATCTACGTGTATTTATGTGGGGTCACAGGCCCCCACTCATCTAATTGAATTTTTATAATTTCTTCATAAATTTTGTAAATTTTTGAACAAAAATATTAAAAGCCCTCTCTTAATTAAATTTATTCATGTGATTAAATTCATTTTGCCCCCAATTAGATATTTACGTGGGTTCGCCACTGGTTTGGACATGTACAACGTAGACCGATAGATGTGCCGGTTAGAAAAGTGGAGAATATAGGTATAAGGATGAGAATGAAAGGAAGATGTAGACCTAGACTTACCTGGGAGCGTGTCATTAGAAATGAGTTGGAAATGTTGCAGATTCCGAAAAAGTTAATCCGGAATCAAAATGAGTGGAAGAAAAGGATTCATGCGGCCGACTCTAAATGAACTTGAAAATGAGATGATGTTATTGTTGTATTGTGATATTTGGTCCGAGTTTTGCCTCGGTATTTTCACTTATCACCTATAACAGTGAAAAAAAAATAAAAACCATAAATGAAAAAATATTTTTGTATTTAATCTCAACCAATGGTTAACATCTTATTAGTTTTAGAAGATGCATAAATTCATCCCATTAGTCTACTAATAAATTAATTGAATCACTAACCATCGCAGAAATAAAATAACCTTGTATTAATGCGAACCAAACCATCTAACATCTATCTAATAATCCTTTGGTCAAGCAATAATCAAAAGAGGTAATTATATTGGTGGCTAACGATAACGAAGCTACATCCACCACCACCACCTCCATCTACTTCATTATTATGTTTCCTAATAATAAATACCAACTTATTGTTTTTAATTTTATTAAATTCTTTAGTTTGATCGAAATAGTATAATACAAAAATCATATCCAAATGATTTCATCTCTATCTCTGTTAGGGATAGGCATTACGGGAACTGAATTATACCAAATCAAAAAATTTGTTATTTTTGTCAAACAATATCGTTCAAAATTTTAAACCGAATTTTTAAAAAACGAATCTAACCAAATTTTATAAAATTTTTGAAAAACTGAATTTTTTTTTAAAATCTATTTTTTTTAACAAAAATCGAAGTAAATAATATACAACACTAATTTTATATAAATTTTAAAATATCGAATAAACTATTTCAAAACAAATCCCTACAATTTGGAATCAAATCCCTAAACGCCACCCTACCCTCTATCCTGCTCTCTATCCCTGTCTTGTCTGATTATCAGGCCTTCTTGATGTTGATTCCCATATAGCTTTAGACCCCCGCAATCAACTTGGACATAAACCAAATCAAAGAAAGGTTTATTTGGCACCAATTCATTTCAATTGTAGATTTGTTTAATTTGAATGATTAACAGTTTATATGTACTCTAATATGCAGGATTAGAACATATTAACAGTTAACCACATAACCTAATTAGACAAATCTTGTGGGAAAGGTTGAGAATCGGAGGGAGGGAGGGCACGAAAAGAACATCCCTTTCGTTCCTTGACAAAGTTTTTCATGTTTAACCACTACGAAACTCCACATCTTCTTCATCCTTCCGTTTCCCTTTTTTCATGTTCATGTTCTGGTCCTCTCATCTTCCCCAGAATTCTGTGTTTCTGCCGAAAAGTCGAGCGAAAAAGGTTGCTTTTTTATCTTTCTCTGGGAGCTCCCTTTCTGTCCCTTCGAGCTTTTTCTTCGTTGTGGGGATTTTCTTTCTGGGGTTTGGCTAGGAATTCGAAGGAAGAAGGGGATAACTATGTACCAGAAACAACCCACGAGAAGATCTTCGTTCAGGGACTCACTCAAAACACTTGAAGCAGATATCCAACATGCCAATAGCCTGTAAGCACCTTCTGGATCTTCCATTTTCATGGCGTCTTTTCGAAATTTGTCTGTTTTGTTTCCCTGTGTTACTTGGTGTCTTTGGAATTAGAGGTAGGGGACTAGGGTATGATGAACTTTTATAGCCGATTGATTCTATTGATGTTCTAATTGGTCGATTTGTGCAAAAAGTTGGGATCTTGATGATGGGTTTGCTCGCAAATATATTGTGTAAGAAACTTATGTTCATAGATAGAGACCCTTATTGAGCATTGATCTTTGGCTTAGTGTTGAGCAAAACGTTTATGGATAAAACAGGCTTCGGATGATTAATGCCCTTTTCTTCTTGTGCAACCGTTGCTGTTTCTATGTTTATGAAAATTTTGGTGATCGTCCTTATAATCTTCCTTTGCATTAGGATCATTGCGGCCCAAGTTGAGAACTTTCTTGGTTTTGCTTAATCACTTTACTCCTTTGGTTTCATCCAGTTTCAGAGAAGCAGAATATGTTCTTGATCAATAAGGAATCTACATTTTTCATCAAAGTTTCTTGAATGGTGTTCTTGCTCTGCAGGGTGGCTGCTCTACCACAAGACTTCAGCGGACAGTGCTTTCAGATGAAATTGTCTTACAGCCCGTTCGCTCCGTTCATTCTGTTTTTGATAGAGTGGATGGGCTATCGATGTACAGATACCCTTCCGACCTCATTAGGGCTCCTCCACATACTCGTATTTAAGGTGGGTTCATATCCATTTCACAGTTTCCATGTCCAGATTATGGTCAAAGGACAAAAACACATTGAACCATTCTTTCTTTCTTGCACATTCAGTTTGTTTTTAAATCCGAATCTTTTGTTGATTCGTCTAGACTTATGTTGATGGATTTCCTGCATTGTCATCAAAAGAAAGAAAAGCTACTCTACGTGAGTTTTATGGTCTGTTCTCTTCTCTCTAAGCGTTGTTTTGGGCAGTATCTCAATTTTTCAATACTTCATAAACCTCTCACATCTGAGTCTCTCCTCTGATCGCGGTGATCTTGCAGCTGTTATATATCCGTCCCTGAGACAACTGAAAGGCGAGTTTATTGAACTAGACAATGGTAATAAGCCGAGAGGCAGAAAAGGAAGTGATGGTACATTGACAGTACAAGAGGCAGAATCTGTCAGAGATGAGGAATGTGGAATATGCTTCGAAAGCTTTACCAAGATGGTGCTTCCCAATTGTGGGCATTCCTTGTGCATCAGCTGCTTCCATGACTGGTGAGAGATCATTTTACTTTCTATACTCTTATGGTGCATGAGAACTGTAAGAAGAGGGTAGAATATGAGTAGTCCGCTGAATATATTCTTCCAATCCCCTCCCGAATGAGGATAAAATCGGTCACTTTTTTTCGAGTTTCAAATCAAAATACTGATTCCTTGAGAACCAAGAAGGAATCTCTTTGAAGTTTGGTAACACGGGCATTTTCATCCATTTATTAAAAAAAAACTTTCAGGAACCCGAGGTCCAAGTCCTGCCCGTTCTGCAGAGCCAGCCTGAGAAGCGTGAGCTGTGAGGATTTATGGGTTCTGATCGGTCACAAAGATGTGCTCGACACGAGCAGTCTGGCGAGAGAGAGCCTTAGTCGTTTCCACCTCTACATGGACAGTCTTCCTCCTGCTGTTCCTGACATGCAACCCTTTCTTCTAGACTACATGCTCTGAAGCTTCTGAGAGGCCAAGTATGGATCTGATGAAACCTCTCCTCCGTGTTTATATACGTGTGTGTATATATACACACACACTATGTTATATATTTCCCTGTAGAGATGACGGTATACAATGTACAGTGGCAAATATGTAAATGTTAGGATTGAACGACATGACCGTCCTCCGTCCAAGCTTTTTTTGTGACTGGAGAGTTCTGAAACTGAACGCCAGAAGACTTAGAAGAAGATGGAAAACATATACTCAAGTAAGCTGTATTTGCGTATAGTGTTACAATCTTACAAGGGCTGTATATATATATATATATATATGGACACATGTGTTCATGCTTAAGTTTTACTTGGCAGACAACGAATTGTGTTTTCCGATCATATGCCGTGAATCAGTAGTAGCTAAAGGTGGAAAAGATATTTAACAAAATTACAAATGTCATTAATATTTATTAAAAATTGCAAAATTATATTTACTTTTTAAAATTACGATTTTTTTTATTATTGATATGTTTAAAATATATATATATATATATAAAGAACTTTTGAAATTTATTAAAAATAGTGAGTTTACTCTTATTTTTTTTTATTGGATTCAAATATCTGGAGCATTCATATTTTTGAAATATGTAAGATTTAGGTATCCGGAAGCTAAATATAGATATCGAGTTTTAAATTTTTATATCCAAGAAAGTTTGTAATTTCATTAACAAAAAAATAAAAAATAGTCGATTGTAATTTTACCTATCGATATTATACAATTTTGTACGGAGGCATAATGGGCCAATTTGAAGGAAATAAAGATAATGGGTTTTAGTTATAAACCTAATTCCCAAGGGGTAAGCTATTTTTTTTTTTTATAAATAGTTTTAGTGTTTAAGATATGTAAGATTTTGGCATATTCTCAAAACAAATTTCCTAATTGCATTATTCAGCATCTTTCTCAAAAGCTAATCAAAACATTTATTTAATCAAAAGAATTAATATTGCTGTTATAAAAAAAACCCTAATAAAAGGCAATGAATATGTTATTCAGCCCAAAATAAAGATAAGTGAAAATCTTTTAAATTATAAACTTTTAAGTGAACTAAAAAAAAGAGAAGAAGAAAAAATTATGAATAATGTTTTGGGTAAGAGTTCATGACTATTCTAACAACATTGACATGGTACAAAACACATTAAAACAAAAACATCGACAGATGTTTTTGCATCTAAAAATGCATATATTTTTCTTTCTTTTTTTGTACAATTCAAAGTGTGCCAAATTTTGGATTTTTTCTGCACACTAAGTAATATTTGGGGTTGTATTATTCTCAAATTTTGTAATTTTTATGCCTATATTATTGACAGAATAATAATATGTAACTATTCAAACGTTTATTATTATTATTATTTATTAAAACTTTTAAAATATATAAAGTATCTATACCGATGTATTAAATAAAAAAACAGGTTCCAAAATAGATAGGTGAAAAACAAATACCTGAAGCATCATAGGAGGGTGTGGATGTACAAAAACATAATATATATGTATAGGTATAGGTATATATACATATACATAATATATAGGTATATGCCGATACATATATATGACAAGAGTAGGGGTGAACATTTGATTTTATTAATAAATATTTGGTTTGGATATTTAAAAATAAAAATGGATCAAAACGCAAAATAATATATATTAATTAAATTGATACAAATATTAGTAAAATTAATCAAATACCAAAACAAAAATTAAAAACCAATATTTTTTAAAAACATATATTTTTTAAATAAAAATAAAATTTGAATAAAAATAAATATAAAAATTAAATGGATATATAATAATATAAAAAATAAAAAAATTAGAAATTAACCAAATAAAAATACTAAAAATCAATATGCATAACTAGAATATGTGTATGTAAACTATATTCACAAAAGCTAAACTTTAAACAAAAATACATTTTGATTAAAATAAGTGGGAAGAGAGAGAGTCTCTCCACTAAAAAGAGAAGTGAAGTTGTGTGAAGATGATCTCCATCCTTTCAATTTATTAGTCTCCAATCATGCCCATACACCTTTTTGCTTTTGTAAAATTATTTATTAATTTCTTATTTGGTATAAAACACTTTGTTAGTGGGCATTTTCCCATTTATGGAGCCTTTACTTAATACTTAAAAAATAAACTAAAATTCCGAGAATCATATTATTATTTATATATTTTATTTCTTTATTGTTTGTTGAATGCAACTCCATTTCTTGGCCCCACCTTTCAAAAGTTTTACCTTTTTTTGCCCATCCCCTCTGTTTTCAAAGATGAAAACAACATCATGGTTTCTACTTAATCAAGTTTTATTAGTATATTACCATACACAAACAATATATATATATATATATATATAGGGGCGGACCTAGGATTATATATATATATATATATAATATATATATATATATATATATAATATTTTAGAAGCAAACGCAAATTGTAAATCGTCCTACATATTTTGGATTTATGTAGAAATTATCAACTAAATGGATTATGTTAAAATAAATAAATAGTTAGAGACGATGTGAAGTTTTTGATGAATGTGTGAGTGAGGATTTGCATGTGGAATGCCAACAAATGATTGTGGAGACTGCGAAGGCAAAAGCATTATAATGTGCTTATCATTGGCTCCAAGAAAGTTGTCCCAAAAAAATGTATCAATTAAGTGATCTATCAAGAAGATCAAGAGCTTTAGCCATTTCCTACAAAAATAAAAAATAAAATAAACGATCCATGTCTCCGATTCCTGCCCAATAGAAAATAAATCTATTTTGAAAACAGTAAATTTTTTATATTTCAAATTACAAGACTATGATCCTTTAAAAATTAAATTATGACAAAAATAATTTTTTATATTGGGAATAGATCATATTGACGAAAATTACCATATAAACAAATTGAAAATATTACGAGACGTTTGATATTATCAGTATTCTATTTATCTATTTTTATAGTAAGATATATTTTTGTTATAATTATCTAATAAGGCGATCCGAATTCTAAGTGATATAATTATAATTGGATGATTTATGTATATTGGTCTAGTTTAATTGGTTTTAGTACAAAATCAAAAGCAGCAAAAAGGATAACCCTTTCCAAGAGGTTACAAAACTCAATCATCTTAAGAAGTAAGAGATTGATACAACAAATAAATTCACAAAATGGGAAGTATAGAAGGTTATGCTCTCTTGATTTTTTTTTATAACGGCAAATCTGTATTAATTAAAAATATATCGTATACAACCCGACTTTCTAATGAAACTAGCCATATTTGGAATGGATTCCAAAACCGTAGAATTTATAAAATATGATCAACCCCTAAAATATGACTGAATCGCTGATGTGAGTGATAGTCATTCATCCATCATGTTATGAGATGGAGGATTGGAAACAACTGAATCCAAGCATAAATACCGTGAGAGGATTGTGTCATGAATCTGTCTATCCAGTTTAAATCGAGCTTTTTCCACTGGGGATGTCGTGTTTCTTAAGATCCTTGTATTCCGCTCCATCCATATGATATATATTGTTGTCTGAATTACTGCCTTTGCCATGTCCTTCCTCGGAGTTGTTGTCTGTCCCGGTTGATTGTCAAGCCAAGCCTTGCATCGATCGACTTCAACCGGAGGTGATGGATAACAAGCTTCTGAAAATATTCTCCACAATCCAATGTTGTAGCTTGATGACATCGTTTTTTGACGTTATTTTTCTATGGTTTTAGTTGCATTTCACCCCTCTTTTCCGTACAAATCCAGCATTTAGGTCACATTTTATGCACAAATACCGTTTTCTTAGCTCTTTGATGTGATTCCAGGAATATTCGTGTAATCGTACGAAAACGGAGCTAAAACGGTGTTTTTGGAGCTTATTTGGACCACGTGACAATCACGTACGAGCTAAGAAGGTCAAGGACTTGTCGCGGGCGAGAAACGGACTTCGGAGCGAAAAAGGAAGAATATCGAGGTTTAGAACATCGATCTCGACGTTTTATAACATCGATATCGACGTTCTTCAACCTCGATATCGAAGTTTCCAGCTACCTCGAGATCAGACTTTCAGATTTCCAGATCTAGACGTTTCCCAACATCGATATCGGTGTTCTATCCCTCGAGATCTGAGCAGTCCAGATGTCGACCTTTCACAACGTCGATATCGACCTTCCATACCTCGAGATCTGAGCAGTCCAGATGACGACCTTTCACAACGTCGATATCGACCTTTCCAAACCTCGAGATCTTGGTTCCATAGAAGAATATCGACGTTAGAAAACATCGATATCGAGGTTTTTAACGTCGATATTTCAAAATCTCTATAAAAAGACCGTACGGAAACCGAGAGAGGATTCGACTTTTGGCACATTTTTCGATACACTGTAATTTTTCGGTTTTCAACACTTTGGGGGACGAATTGGAGTGGAGATTACTACATTTCATTGTTCAAGGATTGAATTCTACATACTATAAGTCTTCTATTCCCTTTTTCTATTGAAATATTATATGAATCCATGTCTATTTCGCTTTCCTCCATGATGTGTGAGTAGTTCGCTTGCTGGATGCTAGGGAATCTAGCCATGTTACGGAATTATCAATGCGCTTGAATGATGGAATGCATGTCTAAGTTAGATCCGGTTTTATGAATTGAACGTAATGCTTTCTTAGGATTGATCATCCTATAGAATTGAACTTGGATTAGTTAATTGCAAAGGAATTTGGATTAATTAATACCGGAATTCGTTCATAAGATAGGTTAAATTATTAATTCTGAATGCATAGGTTAGATTTGATAAGGAATTCTTAATTCGACCTAGGAACTATGATAGCAGACGTTAATGCTTCTAACGTAGACCTAAAGATGCGGAAGTTGATAGGAAAGCGTTAGTTAGAGAACGATAGATTCCTGACCGGACGCGTTCTAGGATAGAAGGTAGAGTTTCCCAAATCGACCTCAGACTGCAATCCAGCCACATCTATTTAGATAATCCGTAGCATCGGTGAACCCCCGAACCTACATTGTTTTTAATTATAGTTTTTTCCAAACCAACCAACAAATCTTGCGCTCTATTCTTACTAGGATCTTCATCGACACCATCACCTCTCGGTCCCTGAGTTCGACCCTGGTACCACATCGAATCCGTACCCTTGCGGAATCGACTTAGTCTAGGTTTTTATTACTTGACTCAAATCCATTCACCTAGATTGGCATGATCAAGTTTTTGGCGCTGTTTCCAGGGACTGAGATTCAGTCTTGGTGCCGGTTAGATTCTAGTTTTCC